ATGTATACTCATTTACCTTTTTCCAGGTTCTCTGCTGCCCCCATGTTTGAGATTTTTGGATATCTGACTCTAGAAAACTGAGCTGTCGTTGAAACATAGTTTGGACACTTGGTGTCAAAAGCAGTGTTTCTCATCCTTTTTACACTTGTTGATAAGTATTAAATGCTTTTGCTAAGTATAAAAATCTCACACCATAACTATTGGGAACATTGAATTTTTTTTTTTTTTTCCCAAATTACATGGTTTTACTCCCCTCCTACCAACCAGGGATTTTCCCTCACATGCTCTTCTAGATAGCCTTGTCCTTAAGGAAGAAAAGAGTTCAAAAAAATAGCTGACTACCCCGGTAATGATTTCTCCTCTATTTTGGTATGGGAACTTGGATTACTAGAGAAGTTTTTCCTACATATTCATTAAGTCAGTCAGTCATTCAGTAAACATGGGTTGAGCCTACCGTATATAGGTTCTTAGAATTACAAAAATGATGATGATCCACACAAAAGTTTATAGGTGAATGTTAATAGCATAATTTATATAGTGCAAAAATTAGAAACAATTCAGATGTCTGTCAGCTGATGAATATTTAAACAAAATGTGGTGTATCCACCCAACAAAGTATAATTCAGCAATAAAAGGACCAGCTACTGATATGTGATACATAGTGGATGAACCTCAAAATCATGCTAAGAAGGCAGGCAGATGCAAACAACAGCATACCGTATGACTCCTTTATAAGAGTGTTCAGAAAAGGCAAATGTGTAGAAACAGAGAGCAGATCAGTGGTTACCTGGGGCTGCGAGGTAGGAGTGAGGATTGACAGCCAGTGGCCCTGACAGAAGTGTATGGGATGTTGGAAATGTTCTAAAATTGGATGGTGCTGATGATTGTACAACTCTACAAATTTACTAAAAATTAACAAACTATGCTTACCATGGGTAAACGCTATGCTAAGTATACCTGAAAAAGCTATTAAAAATTTTTTCACCATTAAAAAATGAAGATTTTTTTGCCCTCAGAGAGAAGCCTTGGTTCAGAGAGCTCTCAACAGTCAATGAAACAAACATATAAACAAAGAATTACATTCAATGTGCTTTGTATGTGTGTTTGTGACCTCATGAGTGTCCAGTGGAGGGAGTTTCAAGGTGTGGCTGAGAGTTTTTAGGCAAGAAAGACTTTACATAGAAAACGATATTTGAGATTAGCTTTGTAAAATGAGTAAGGAGTTTGCCAGATGGGGAGGTATTTGTTTCCTGACTTACTGCTGTCATGTAGGAAGTAGTGGTTCTTTCTTTCCGTTTTTTGGACTTCTTTCATTTTTAATATCCATAAAAATAATTACAAAATATACATATTGACAACTGGCTAAGGAAGGTAAACAAATAGCAAATTCATATATTAGTCTCTTAATAAAAGTTGATCATTCATATTATTTTCTAGCTTTTGGGTTTGCTAATTACCTAAGCTTTCTAATCAGCAAAGCAATTTCTAGTTGACCTTGGATAAATTATCACATTCTTTCATTAAATATGTGTTTGTATTTGTGTATATTATTTTTTCAAATGGCTTTTAAGTGGTCAGCACATAAATAGTCAAGTTGTTAATAGAACAGAAGTGTTAAATATATCTTTTGTTCTAGGAACATCATGAAAAAATTACACAATCACTAAGTGCACCGTGAACTAAGAAAGAACCAAAAAGTTCTACATTGTTTTTGATCAGAAGGACAATAAGATGAACAGTTTTGCAATAGAAATGCTTAACTTCTATAAAAAGAACTTCCAAGATTCATTTTGCCTTTTCAGTGTTAGATTTGAAAATAGGTGAATTGTTCTCTTTCTTATAATATGGAAGACTAGGAAGAAATTCTGAATACCTCTCACTATAAAACAGTAAAATGCTACCTAAAATATGCAAAATTATTAGATACAAAATAAAATACATGGTTAATATAGCTAAAGACCTGAAAAAAAGTATCAAAACCATGCACAAAAAAGAAACTCTCAAAATGGACTTTTTTGAAATAACCAATTAGAGGGACATCTGGGTGACTTAGTGGGTTAAGTGTCTGCTCAGGTCCTGGGATCAGCTGGCGCCATGCTCCCTGCTCAGAGGAGGGAGTCCACTTTTCCCTCTTCCCCCACTTGTGCTCTCTCACTTGCTCTCTCAAATAAATAAAATCTTAAAAATAGCCAATTAGAACTTTTCAAATGAAAATATAATCACTGAAATTAATATCGTAACTACTTAAACCTGTGAATTAGGTAGAGATTAAGAGAAAGTTTATACACTTGAACATAGAGCTGGAGTAGTTACCCAGAATGCAACAAAAAGAGATAGAGAGGAAATATAAGCTATGAAAAGAGCAACAAGTTTAAGAGGCCATAGTTGATATCTGTGATTTGCTTTTTCCACTAGCTGTTTCCTATTTGCTCTGCCCTCAGCCGGAAGCCCAACTGGCTGGGGTTCTTTACTGGATGGGATGACCCAAACTTGAATTACTGAAGGGTCTGAATCCTTAATAATTCTTTTCTTTGATTTCTATAGTTTTCCATTAACTTTCATTACTTGTCTTGGAAAAACTAGGATTCCAGAGAGTCTCCTGGGTTATGGACACAGTCCTCCTTACTCCTATTGTGTATCAAAAACTCAGTTTCCCTGTGGTAATTAAGATCAATAACTAACCAGTAAGTAACCTCTTTGCCTACTAGTTCAGTGGTATGATGAGTACAAAATGGCATGACTGCCAGATGGCAGTCTCATGTTCCAGTTCAGTAGAATCATTGTTGTATTCCTCTGAAAGAAGCATTTTCTGCTAAGAACTAAACAATAGGCAGAGTTCAAGTTGCAAATCGGAAAGCAAAAATTAAGTGAGTGTTTTTTGGTTATAGTAGGGAGAGGAGCCACTCCCACTTTGATCCCTTGATTCCTAGACTCTGTATTTTGGCTGTGTTTGTAAAAGCACCAATAAATATAATGGTCTTAATACTGCATCCTATAAGACAGAACCCAGTTCTTACAAAGTGTTGTCTCCCAATGCACTTTGTTAAGTCTCCCTTTAGGCCAGCAATTTCTGGGTAGGTGGTAAGACCTTATTATTCCATGGATACCCTTATTGCTTTACTACCTTTCCTGGGAAATGAGTTTCCTGATCAGAAACAAAGCTGTGTAGAATACCATGAAAATGGATAAGGCATTCCAGCCGATAGTGGTGCTAGCCAGGAACATTATGAGCAGGGAATGTACAACCTTATCAAGAATACATTTATTCCAAAGAGGACAGATCCCTGCCCCCTGCATAAAAGAAGACATCTAATGCATTCACCCTGCCACTAGGTGGCTGACCAGCATTAATAGGGAATGGTGCCATTTCTGGAGCTCCAAGACCATGCAAGTGTCTGTTGCCAGATGAGAAGCTGCATTATAAGTTACATAGCTGCATACCAGGTGCTATAGGCTCTGTTATTTGTTCCAGTGGTGATACCGCATCTAGAAAAATAGCTGCCATCAGAGTGACCACTATGCTATAAATTTACTATTACTCAATTTACTATAAATTTACTATTAAATTTAAATTTACTATAATCCACAGTCATTTTTTAAGATCCATCTAATTTCTGCACAGACTAAACAGATAAATTAAATGGGGATGTGATAGATATCTTTCAAGTCTCTGGTGATGGCACTAACCTCTGGAGTTCCCCTCGGGATGTGCTTTTGCTTCTTGGTTATTATCTTGATAGGGAGAAGTTCTAGAAACTTCCATTAGTCCTTCTTACAATAATAGCTCATACCTCTGGGTCACAGTCAATGTGGAGATTTCTACAAGTGATCTGGTGTCTCTACTCCAATTATACATTCTGGAACAGAGAAAGCAATCGTAATGTGAGTCTGGGGACCAGCTGGGCTAATATTTCATCTGTCACCTGAACACTATAGACCTCCATTTGACTGGAGTGGCATTTGGAGTCTTCAGAAATTTGAATCAGTTCAGAAGTACACAGTAGGGATAATTCTGGTGGATTCCAAGAACCCTTCCTCCATAGTGTGTTCTCTACCTTCTCCCAGTTACTCAATCAAACATCTACCTAGGTGTTGTTATGAAGGGATTTTTGCAGCTGTAATTAAGGTCCCAAATCAGTTGACTTTAAGAATGGGAGATTATCCCAGGTAAGCCTGACCTACTCACATGAGCCTTGAACTATTCCTGAGGAGAGAGATTCAAATCATGAATGATGGTTGTACAACCATCACCATTATATAATTCTAGAACATTTCCATCACCTCGACAAGACTCCATACCCATTAGCAGTCACTCCCCATTCTTCCTGCCTCCTAGACCCTGGCAACCACTAATCTTTCTGTCTCTGGATTTCCCTGTTCTGGACATTTCATATAAATGGAATAATAATAAGACAATATGCAGCATTTTGTGTCTGGCTTCTTTCACTTACCATGATTTCTTTAAGATTCATTCATGTTGTAGTATGTACCAGTACTTCATTCTTTTTTATGAATTTAGGTTGTATCTTTTTTATGAATTTAGATTGTATTCCACTATTGTGATTACAAATCCATGTATATGTACAAGTTTTTCTGTGAATATATATACCTAAGAGTCAAATTGCTGGATCTTAATGTAACTAACTCTGTGGTTAACTTTTTGAGAATTGACAAGCTGTTTTCCAAATTATAATGTGGTGGTACCATTATGCATTCTCACTTTTGTGGCTTTTTAGATTCTACGTCTTCATCTGTAAAAACAAAGGGTAAACTTGAGGTTTTGCAGGGAGGGAAATGTGGGAGAGAAAGGTAGAATGAAATGTTACACCAAAACACTTTTTTCCTATCTAATACTAAATATTACATGTCACATGTAACATTTTTTTCCTAGAAATTTTAGGAAAACAGAGAAGAATAAACAGTAAGAAATCAAAAGTCAGTGAGAACTTTACCAGTTTTTTTTATCTTGATGATTTGAAATTGTTTTTTTGTTTTTATAGAAAAGCTTGCAGAGGCTCAGCGCAGGTTTGCTACACTTCAGAATGAGCTTCAGTCATCACTGGATGCACAGAAAGAGAGCACTGGCGTTACTACACTGCGACAGCGCAGGAAGCCAGTCTTCCATTTGTCCCATGAGGAACGTGTCCAACATAGGAATATTAAAGACCTTAAACTGGCCTTCAGCGAGTTCTACCTCAGTCTTATCCTGCTGCAGAACTATCAGGTACTTAGAGTCTTATCCTGGAGAATGGAACCTTCAAATAATTGAGAAGTTTGGAATTAACCTTGAACGATACTAATGGGCCAATCTAAAAAGGGAAATCTTTAGCATGTCATTATTTTTTAGGTTCTTAATGTGATGTCAGATGTTCTTACTGGCTAAAAACCACATATCAAAGGTAGCAAAATGGTGTTAGTAAGACTTCTATTTTTGAAGATCAGTTTTCTAAAGCCTTTCGTACAGTATGCACGAGTAACCCTTGATTCATGGTTTACTTCCTATTTTTAGAGGCATCTCTAGTAGTACGTAGAAATAAGAAATTATAAATGTCCATCTAGCCACTGCTGGCTATGTAAGACCTTTACATTCCTCCAAGCCTATAACAAAATTTCCACAAAGCCAATTAGACAGTTAATTTTCCTGAAACTAACACTAATAATATAAAAGATACTAACTTTACAGCTTTGCCACTGAGAATCCTTCCATTGTATTATCCACATACTATAATATAACTATTAAAATCTGTATGGAATTACTGGATCACTCTATTGTATACCTGAGACTAATATAACACTGTATATTAACTACATTAGAATGAAAATAAAAATTTTTAAAAAGTAAAAAAAATGTCTTCTGAAAGAAATTAGATCACAACAAGCAAGTATAGAGACTGGATATCTAGGCTAATGTGATGTGTCACTTAACATTTTTAAAATCCAATCTGAAAAGCTGAATTACCATGTACATTAAATTATGGAAATAGAAGGCATTTCTAATTCATTTCTAATCCTTTACATATTTGTTTACATATTTGAATCTACAATGAATTTATTGAAAAACAGATTATTTGTTCAGTAATAAACTTTAAATAGAAGCATCTGATCTTTAAAGAGACCTTATGTACTATTCTTTTTCCATTTTATTATTGTGATTAGTACTGCTAATCAGTGGTTATATAAAACATTAAAAATAAAAGTTTATACAATGAAAGTATTCTAAGGGTAAATATTGGAGTTTTAAAATAAAAAGTCATTATAGTCTTACATCTGCAGTAATCTAAGTTGTTAATGCATGTACTTATTTCCCTCTCTTTCTCTGTCATAATTCTACCTTTTTTGGTAATTTAATATATTATCATTCAAAGAAGAACCCTGTTGGAAAATGATTTTAGAAGAATAGTAAAGTATACAATGGGAAATTCCTTTCCTTTGAAATTTATCTGTAGCTTTACAATTTATATTTAAAAAGAAGTAAAAATACATTTCTTCTTTCTTATAATGCTATAAAACATTAACATTTCATATTTCATTGATTATGCTTGTGTGTTTCAGAGAAATACCCTTGTTAATTTTTTTTTATTAACTTTCCCAGAAGCTTTTGCTTGGGGTCACTATAACAAGCTCCCTGGGAAAACAAAAATAATTGTTAATTATAAAGGTTCTGTTCTATTCTCTATTCTTTAAGGCTGGCTGTTTCGTACGATTATGTATTGAGAGTGAGGAGAATGGAAAATTAATTGAAAGCAGTTTCTAAATCACAGTGTATGCACCCCTAGGAGAATTTAATATGATTTCTTAAATTATGAGACAGAAATGATAAACAAACAAATTAGCAAGCAAGCAAAGTCTAATTTGGAATAAATGCTCAATTTGTTTACTGATAGGGATATGTGATCAATAAATTTGGGAGATCTCTGGTTTAAAGAACTATACAAATCTACAGTTTCTTGCTTTTTTGCATGTATCAAAGAATAACAATTTGAGAATGTAGAAAAGTATAGTATTTTGATATCGTAGAAATGGAGGAAGAGTGCAAGCTCCTATCCATTATCAGCCAAACCCTGTATGTATGATAAGTGTTACTCTTTTTGCACTCCCATCTCCAAACTGAGAATGGATGGAAGCAAAATGAAATTAAAAGAAACAGATGATCTTCCATTTTCTGTGCTGGTTCATACATGCTTGCATAGTAGGGGGGAAATACATAGCAATACCAGTCCTTCAAAAAACAAAGAACTATAAATATATTTAGTGTATGATAAATCCAAAATATTTTTGATTGTATCCTTTTGATCATGAAGCAAAATAATATAAATTAACCTTTTTGAAAATAATTGAAAGATTTTTCCATAAGAAAATGGAAATAAAAATGTTTTGATTTTAAGACTTCCATTAATTTACTTGAAATAGAAATCATAGGGTTCATAATTTAGGGTTTCTTTTATTACTGATGGCATACTACCTTAAATAAATAGATGGAATAAGAAAGAAGATTTTTTTTTTTTTTGGAGAGAGAGAATGTGGTGGGGAAGGGCAGTAGGAGAAGGAGAGAGAAAGTCTCAAGCAGACTCCTCACTGGGCCTGGAGCCTGATGTGGGGCTCGATCTCACTACCCTGAGATCAATACCTGAGCTGAAACCAAGAATCAGTTGCTTAACCAACTGACCCAAGGAAGAAGAGTGTTATCCTTTTGGTAGTAAATGCTTATATGAAAGCATTGCCATTTCCCAGTATGCAGTCATCAGTCAGCTCATCAATGCATCGTGCTTATTATTTTTCTTCATTTATGGTGGTGGAAATTATAGTAGTTTTTCTCATTTCTTTCTGTAGAATCTGAATTTTACAGGGTTTCGAAAAATCCTCAAGAAGCATGACAAAATCCTGGAAACTTCTCGTGGAGCAGATTGGCGAGTGGCTCATGTTGAAGTGGCCCCATTTTATACGTGCAAGAAAATCAACCAGCTCATCTCTGAAACTGAGGTATAGTAATCTCACTTATGTACTACCTATTTTCAATAGCATTAATGTCTTATTTTTAATGAAATAATTCTTCATCTGTAGTCTCCTTTTGTAATTTGTTGCTAGCTTTGAATACAATGTTCTTTACTCATGGGTTTTGTCTTTTGCTTTGTCAGTATACATTCACCAAGAAGTTATCAGAATACCATCTATATAAATGGTTCAGAATTATTTATGTATTAGTCAAGATTAGTATAACCTGTGTCAAAATTGAATGTGTCTTTCTAGGCTGTAGTGACTAATGAACTTGAAGATGGTGACCGACAAAAAGCTATGAAGCGTTTACGTGTCCCTCCTTTGGGAGCTGCTCAGGTTAGTATTTCTTTCAGTTGTTTGGTTTTGCCTATTTAATCAACACAATCTGTTTAGTTGATAAAACATACTAGTTTCATTACTTTCAAAAATATGTCAGGGGCGCCTGGGTGGTTTGTTTAGTTAAGCGTCCAGCTCATGATTTTGACTTAGATCATGATCTCAGGGTTGTGAGTTTGAGCCCCATATCCCGCTTTGTTCGGGTGTGGAGTGTGCTTAAGATTCTCTCTCTCCCTCTCTCTTTGCCTTCCAACCCTGCTCTCTCTCCTTAAAAAAAAATAAAAAGAAAAGAAACAGCCAAATTTTAAAAGTAGTTATTACTATTGTTATTTTGTTTTTAAAAAATTCCATGCCAGGTCTTACTTCATGATGAATTGTAGTGTCTTCCCACCTTTCTCTTCTTACGCTATATTCCTTCTCTTGTGACATGCTAACTTCTTGGCCTCCCCAAATTATAAAGATGAGATACTTATTTCATGTTATAGTCACCAAATGATTGTGATTAGGTATTTAATGATATGGGGTGGGAAGATTCAAGTATGCTGGGCTACTACAAAACTTCATCCAAAATGCCACAGTTACATCAAAAAAAAAAAAAAAAAAAAAAACCACTATTAAGTGACATCTACACAGTAATTATACTAGAAACATTAAGGCAACATATTCTGTTTCATAAAATAAGTCTCAGTAAACTTAAAAGGATTTAAATCATAGAATAAATTCTCTGAGCACAGTGGAATGGAAATCAATAACAAAAAGAGCTTCCTTATCCTAATAAAAGGCATGTATGAAAAAACCTATAACTAATATCATACTTAATAGTGAAACTCTGAATACCTTCTCCCTAACTAGGGACAAAAAAAGGATATTCATTCTAACCACTTTTATTCAACATTGTACCACAGATTCTAGCCAGTGCATTAGGGTAGGAAAAAGAAATAAAAGGCATTCAGGTTAGAAACAAAGAACTAAAACTCTGGTGGAGGTTTTGCTGATGATATGCTAACTTATATAGAAAAATCCAGTGAATTATTAGAATAGCTGCTAGAACTAATAAGTGAGTTTAACATGGTTGCAGACTGTAAGGCCATAAATAAAGTAAACTGCATTTCTATGTGCCATTCAGAACAATTTTAAAAAAAAACGGGTGTCTAGGTGGCTCAGGTCATGATTCTGGAGTCCCAGGATTGAGTCCCACATCAGGCTCCCTGCTCAGCAGGTAGTCTGCTTCTCCCTCTGCGCTTTACCCTGCTTGTGCTCTGTATTGCTCTTTCTCTCTCTCTCTCAAATAAATAAAAAAAATATTTAAAAAAATATTTTTTAATTTCTTTTTTTTTTTTAAGGATTTTATTTATTTACTTTGACAGAGAGAGATCACAAGCAGGGGGAGCATCAGAGGAAGGGAGAGAAGCAGGCTTCCTGCTGACCAGGGAGCCTGGTGCAGGACTCAATCCCAGAACCCTGGGATCATGACCTGAGCCAAAGGCAGACACCTAATCAACTGAGCCACTCAGGCACCCCAGAATAAAACATTTTTAAATGCTATTCATAATTGAAATATGTAGGGATAGATCTGACAAAAGATATATAAGATCTTTACATTGAAAACTATAAAATATTGCTGAGAGAAATTAAGAGACAGATGCATGAGAGATATATCATATTCATGGGTTAGAAAACCCAGTACTTCAAAGTTATCATTTCTTCCTAAATTGATCCATAGATAGAATACAGTCCAGCTCAAAATCTCAACAGGGCTTTATATTTATTATACATGTTTATAACTGGTTAGCAAATTTTAAAATTTATATAGAGTTAAAAAGGACCAAGAAAAAACAAAAAAACTTTGCAACAACTTAGTTGAAAGATTGACACTACCTTGTATCAAACTCACTAAAACTACAGTAATCAAGACAGTGTGGTATTAATGTCAAGAAAAGTAATAGATGAGTGAAACAGAATAAAAAGTCCAAAAGTAGACCAATAAATACATGGTCAATTAATTTAATGTAAAGACAGTTCAGGGAAAAAGATAGTCTTTTCAACAAATGGTGCTAGAGCAATTGACTTCCATGTGCAAAGAAAAGAAAACAACTTCCACACATCTTTCACATCATACACAAAATTAATTTCAGGTATACCATAGACTTAAGTGAAAACCTAAAAGTACACATTTTTGAAGAAAATACAGGAAAAAGTCCATTATGAAGACTGGTTTATGCAAAGATTTCTAAGAAATAAAACCAAAAACTCCTCATCAAAATTTAGAACTTCTGCTCTTCAGAAGACAATATTAAGAGGGTGAAAAGAAAAGCAACAGACTAGGAAAGAAATAGAACAGATAAAATATATAAATATAAGAACTTCAGTACTCAAAAATAAGAAAACAACCAGCTTAAAAGTGGGCAAGAGATCTAAACAATCAAAGAGGTTGTGTAGCAAGTAAACATGTGAATAGATGTTCAGTATCATTAGTCATAGGGAAATGCAAATTAAAACCACAGTGAGGTAACGTATACCTATTAGAATGACTAAAAACATAGACACTAAATGTTGGAGGAGCAAAGCTCTGATATCTCATATGCTGCTAGTGGAAAGTAAAATCATACAACCATATTGGAAAACAATTTAGCAGTTTCTTATAAATTAAACCTTCACCTACCATATGATCTGGCCATTATACTTATAGGTATTAAGCCAAGACAAATGCAAGCATGTTTTCATATAAAGATGTGTACACAGGGGGCACCTGGCTGGCTCAGGCAGTAGAGCATTCAATTCTTGTTCTCAGGGTCATGAGTTTGAGCCCCATGTTGGACATAGAGCTTTCTTTAAAATAGATAAATTGATAAAGTCCTTTAAAAAAATCTTTCACGAAATGTTTTAAAGCAGCTTTATTCATAATAGCCTAAACCTGGAAACAGATCATATCTATCAATAAGTGAATGGGCAAACAGTAATGGTATATCCATACAATGGCATAATACTCAGCAATAAAAAGGAATAAACATTGATACATGGGGGGCGCCTGGGTGGCTCAGTGGATTAAGCCTCTGCCTTCAGCTCAGGTCATGATCTCAGGGTCCTGGGATCAAGCCCTGCATTGGGCTTTCTGCTCAGCAGGGAGCCTGCTTTCCCTCCCTCTCTGCCTGCCTCTCTGCCTACTTGTGATCTCTGTCTGTCAAATAAATAAATAAAATCTTTAAAAAACAAAAACAAAAACATTGATGTATGGAAGAATATGGGTGCATCTTAAAATAATTACACTGAGGGAAAGAAACCAGACCAAAAGAGTATATACTATATGATGCTGTTTACTTAAAACTCTGAAAAATGCAAACTCTATAATGACAGCAGATCCATGGTTTTCTGGGAGGTGGAATAGGGAGTGGTGAGCAGAAAAGTGTTACAGAAGGGCATAAGGAATCTCTTGTGAGGGGCAATAGATAAGTTCATTCTCTTGATTATGATAATAATATCCTAAGTGTTTAACATATATCAAAACATCAAATTCTATGCTCTAAATATGTGCAGTTTAGTGTGAGTTATACTTAGTAAAACTATTAAAAATAAGAAAATCTTGAAAAATTAAAGTATTTCTAAATGCAAAAAGAACTGGTGAAGCTTAGAAAACATGGAAATGGTTATCCTTGGTGAGGAGGAAAGGTTTATGGATCTGGAAAGGGTAGGGACTTCAAAGGTAATAGAAATGTTCTGTTTCTGATGATGGGTGATAGGTATAGAAACACTTTATTATTCAGTTCCTAATAGTTCAAATACATTATATGTATTCTTTTATATATGATAAATTACACAATTTTTTAAACTAGAAAAAAATTTTTTGAAAATGCAAATGACTTTCTTCCCTCTGGATGCATTCAATCTTTAACAATTCAGATACCTGTTACTGGATAATTTGTAGGTCAGAGAGAATCTCAATGCTTTTTTTCATTTAAAGGTTTTTGGAAAACATTTAAACTATCTTAAATGTAGCATTTAAGATATTACACCTTTAACAACAATAGAAGTTCTTTATAATATTCATAGCAAATATTTAATCCCACAATATTTTCTCTCTGTTTCTCATACCTTTATGTTTAAAATATCAGAACACTTTCTTTTATATTAGAAAACATTTTACTTCCTTTTATCATTTTCTAAATATAAAGCTACCATAAAGTAGAGAAAAATATTTTTTGAACCTACATGCTCTGGAGATTCTGATATTCCAGTTCTCTGGAGAATGTCTATTGTATCTCAGAAATTCACTTTAGGGACACCTGGGTGGCTCAGTCGATTAAGTGTCTGCCTTCAGCTTAGGTCATAATCCCAGGGCCCTGGGATTGAGCCCCATGTCGGGCTTTCTGCTCAGCGAGGAGCCTACTTCTACCTCTCTCTGCCTGCTGCACCCCCTTGCTTGTGCTCTCTCTCAAATAAAAAAATGAAATCTTTAAAAAAATTCACTTTGTTACCCCAGTGTTAATAGTGTAAGTAATATAGAAAACAAGTGTTCTTAATTTTGCCATTGTCTCAATACCAAATATGTGAATTCCGAGTAATAGTGACCTACAAAATTTAAAGAGATATATCTTGTGAAAATGAAATTGCACTTAGATTTCTCCTACAAGAAAAACTCAGTATATATATAATTCAGTGTTTAAGATTAAATTCGTGGTTACTTAGTAACTCAGATTTTTGTAAAGGAATTCAAATAACTATATTACAAGAGAATTAAGGATGTTTTTCTGGTTCTGATTTATACTTAAAATATTTTTGTTTTCATGGTAGAGCTTTGGGACTCATACTACTAATTTATGACAGCATATACTAAATGTATGCAGTGTTTTGCCCTTTGAACAGCATGCTGTTTTTCTGTCCACAGCCCGCACCAGCATGGACTACTTTTAGAGTTGGCCTATTTTGTGGAATATTCATTGTACTGAATATTACCCTTGTGCTTGCCGGTAAGTTGTTTAAATTTTGAATTAAATTATCCTTAGGAATATGCCTATGTTATATTCTATTCCTCTGTCAAAACTACCACCAAACTAACAGAGCTGCTACTGAAAGAGAAATTTGCCAGGGCTAAATTTTGGTTGTTATATATGATTCGAAGGGATGGGGTGGTGTTTGGTCATTTGTTTGGTTTGTTTTTACTTTTGGGTATAGTTATCCTTTAAAACATTGCTAGATTATGACTTTTATTCTCCATCATTTTCTTGTTTTTATGTTCAATTTCCTTATACTTGTTCAAAGTTCAGTTATCAGGAATCTCAGCTTCCTTGATCACAGTTGAGAGTAAATAAGGATGCAAAATTCACGTACTAAAGTTCATTCACTTTGCTTATTGGAGTCTCTCTCACGTCATTTCCAGATTGTATTTGCAATTACTTTAAATATAATTTTAAGAAACGTGGTTGTGTAATTTCCTATTCTAAAGAAGTTAAGAATTAGAAAGAGGTTGGAGGAATTGCTGGAAGCAGGGGAACTCCCAGCATCAAGAAATGATATAACAGCAAGAGAGACATTATCTTACTAAACTTCCCAACAGAATTTGACATACTCCTCAGCAGCATTTGACAGTGTGGGTCATTCCTTCTTAAAACCCTTTCTTTACTTGGTTTTCCTGGGAAACCGTACTCTACTGGTAGTTCTTTCCAATCTGCTTTGCTAACTATTCTTTTCTTTGTGACATCTAATTGTTGGGCAGTATGGCTGGGCTGAATCCTCAAATCTCTTTCTCTGTCAACTTTCGTTTCCTACCTAGGCAATCTTATTCAAGCCTATTGCTTTAAACGTTGTCTGTATGCTAATGACTCTCAAGTATGTCTGCTCTCTCCTCTGAATGATAATCTAATTGACTATTTGGATTTGTAGTAGGCATTTCAAACTTAGGAGGACAAATTTTTTTTTTAGCCCCAAATACTCTTCCTTTTCCATAAATCATCACTTTTAGTCAGGTTATCAGGCCACAAACCTGTAGCCTCTCTTTTCTCTCATACCTTATCTCCAGTTCCTCAGCAGATCCTTTTGCTTTCTCTTTAAAATGTGGTTTGTTTGTTTTTGGCTCTGCATTCAGCATGAGATCTGCTTGAGATTCCCTCTCCCTCTGCCCTTCCCCCTGCTCATGTGCATTCTCTCTGTAAAACAAAATAAAATCTTTTTTTAAAAATTAAAATGTTTTTTTTAAGTATAGCTGACACACAATGTTACATTGATTTCAAGTGTACAACATAGTGATTCAACAACTCTGCATTATGGTATGTTTGTGACAAATGTAGGTACCATCTGTCACCATACAACACTATTAAAATGCGATTGTCTATATTCCCTTTATGGTACCTTTCACCCCATGACTTATCCCTTCCATAATTAGAAGCCTATATCTTCCACTCTCCTTCACCCATTTTCAATCTGACCACCTCAACCAGTGCCATCCTTGTGTAAGCAACCGTTTTTTGCTTGGTATACTGCAGTAGCCTTCTGAACTTGTCTCACTAGGCCACTCTTGCCTCCTTTTAGCCACCAACGTCTTTTTTTTTTTTTTTTTTTTAAACCTAAGTTAGATCGTATCACTGCCCTCCTCAATATCTCTTTATGGCTTCTCTTACAATCAAGTTGAAACTTCTTACTATGGCCTAGAAGACCCTATAGAGTCTTGCCGTATGGGTCTTTCTGACTTTATATCCTGTAATACTCTCCATACTCAGTTTCACTCTGTTTCCAAGTACATTTGTGGTGGTACTATTCCTTGAACTCACCAAGCTCATCCCATAAATGATCCCTTGCAGTTGCCTAAACGTTTCTAACATGGTGCTACACATATAGTAGATGTTTAAGAAAAAACTTATTGAACTTGCTTTTCCTCATTAACATTCTTCTTAAGATTGTCAATTATAAATTATAACCCAAGTTGTAATGACTCTTAGCGAGCGTATGAACTTAACCTGTTGACAGTGTATTTTCATTTGTGTTTTTAGAATTCTCCCTCCTACCAATTACTAAAAATTATATCTAATAATTATGGCCTACTGTAAGCTCCTGATTTAATATTGGTATAATTTATGATCATATTTTAATTTAGTTCTATTTCTTTAAATGAATGCAGCCTATTTATATAGACTACATAGAAATATTGCAATAAAAAGCCCAGTCCTCGATTTTCAAGCCAGCTGTTAGGAAAGGAACACTGACTTGTCTTAAAAAACCCTTGCCTGGGTTTCAGTCTCAGATCCACTGTTTGTTAATTGTTTTGGCTTTAAGGATATCATTTAACTTCTCTGAAATAATTTCCTTATTAGGTGAGCTTACTACCTTAAATTTACAGGGTTGTTTTAGAATTCATTCATTCAACAGGTAAATTTTATGTATTTCACGATTATGCTTGATATTATGAGTCTTAGATAAGAGAATCCCTTTTCTTATGAAACTTATTATGTCAGAGAGATTAAAACAGTAATAATACACTACAAGACAGAAAATCTTAAATGTTCTAAGCAGGTCAAAGGAACAAAGTGATTACTTTAAATGAAAGCATCAAGGAAGACTTTATGGAGGAAATGGCATTTTTGCTGGACACTGACGGAGGGACAGGCATTCTAAGAGGAAACAGATATGCAGAGATTTAGTTGGTAGGGGATGAGGGTGGGGCATAGGAGTAGGGAGTGGGTTACGAAGGGGAGAAAGGATAAATCACCTAGTGTGAAGGAGAGTATTAGATAATAAGAGTGGAAGATACTTAAGATCACTTCATGGAGATCAACTAAGAAGTATAAGTAATACATAGGTTGCCTGGGTGTCTTAGTCGATTAAGGATCTGACTCTTGATTTTGGCACAAGTTGTGATCTCAGGGTCTTGGGATTGAACCCCATGTCACCTGTTGGGCTCTGTGCTCAGCAGGGAGTCCACTAGAAGTTCTCTCTGCATGTCCCTCTCCCTCCGCTCCTCCCTCCAGTCACATGCACACATGTGCGTACACTGTCTCCCTGTCTCTCAAATAAACAAATCTTTTAAAAAAAAAAAGGTACAAAACATGTTTATAGTTGTAAAGTACCACGTCAGTATAAATTATAAGGTGTATGTGATGGGAGTTGTTCTTTCTAAGAAAAACCTCAATCATTTGTGTGTGAAGTTTTTTTATTTTCAAGATGAGTATGGTTATAATTATCATCATTATCAAATAATAAGAAAAAAATAAACTTCATTCTTTTTATGTGAGTGCATTGAAAAGCTTTTTTAAATTCAGGGACAAATTAAGGTTTTGTTTTCTTTTGTAAATACAGACTTCTGTGAGACACTCTAATTTTTTGTTTATAACTTATGTGGTTTATGCATTTAGGGTGGTGCATTATGTTCTCTCACCTCAGAACTCTTCTTTGTTTGATCTTTGTGTTGGGCCAAGAGGAGGAGGCAGAGCAAATATAAAGCCAGCTGTCTATCCTTATTTATCTCCCAGCGGGTACTAAAAGATAACAGTGTTGAGAGATGAGAGAGAAACACAGCAGTAGTAATGCATGTACAAGCACGATTCTTTTTTTCATTCACATCAAAAAATAATGTGCATAATTGCTGTAGTTTCTCAAGGGGATATGACCTGATATTTAATAATTTGTCTGAAATTCACATACTTCAGATAGTTTGATAAAGATGAAAAGTTACCTGATTAGATTTTTTAAAACTTCTTCTCTTATAGATTTCTAGTAATCTTTATTTAATTTGATACAATAACAGTATACCATATTTCATTTTTTGGTTTGATAAAGATATGAGTTTGGCTATTTAAAACACATATAACTGTGTGAAATAGCAAGCACTCATACCCTAATAGTAAGAGTAGTGATTGTTTCGATCTCTTTGGAGGATAATTTGACAGTATATGTAAAATTTTAAATGCAGTCACTTTGGTCTAGCAATTTTATTCCTAGAAATTTATCTTAAAACGTATGTGGGTATAAGGATATACATGAGATGAATGTATTCACTGCCATTTCATTTATAGTTGCAAAATCCTAGAAACCACTCAAATGTCCATCAGTTAGGAATTGTTTAAAAAACTAAATGATATTACCTCTGTACAATGAAATGTCATGAAGGTATTAAAGTGAATGAATGAAAATGGGTATAGCACTTTGGAGAACTGTTCGGCAGTCTCTACCAAAACTGAACATATACTATACTAGGTTGTTTCCATCCCCCAGTTAATGTGTATTGTGCTGCTGTGAACACGCATATTCGTGGATTTGTTTGGGTACCTGGTTTCAGTTCTTTTGGATATATGTCTAGGAGTGGAGTCATTCAGTTATGTGCTAATCTATGTTTAATCTTCTCAGGTGCCACCACGTTGTCTTCCATAGAGGCTACACCATTTTTCCTTTTCACCAGCAATTTATGAGGGTTCCATGTTCTTTACACACTTACCAACTTAATCATTTTTCTTTTTATTTATTTAGTTAGTTAGTTATAGCCATCCTAGTGGGTGTGAAGTGATATCTTGTTAATGTTTTGATTTGCATTTCCCTGATGACTAATGGTATTGAGCATCATTTCATATGCTCAGTGCTCAAACTTGTTGGCTATTTGTTTATTTTCTTAGGAAAAATGTCTGTCTAAGTCCTTTGCTCATTTTTTAATTGAGTTGTCTTCTTGTTAAGTTACAAGATTTCTTTATATATCCTGGGTAATAGACCCTTACCAAGATACAAGATTTGCAAATATTTTCTCCCATTGTATAGACTGTTTTTCACTTTCTTCATTATATCCTTTGATGCACAAAAGTTTTTAATTTTGATAAAGCCTGATTTATCTATATTTTTCTTTCTTTGAACTAATTTTTGTACATGATGAGAGATAGGGGTTCAACTTCATTCTTTTTTTTTTTATTTTATTTATTTATTTGACAGACAGAGATCACAAGTAGGCAGAGAGGCAGGCAGAGAGAGAGAGAAGCAGGCTCCCTGCTGAGCA